ACTTGCTGTGGATGTGAACCAGTCCAGCTGATGTGGACACCCCGTCTCTACAACAGTGTCTACTAACCAGAAGCTCCTGATGAATTCCCCATTGCCTAAATTCCTTTTGCTTGGGGTCCCTAACTTCATCCCAAAGTCAGCAGGAAGCAGATTGGAAAAGAATTTCGCCGCCCTTTTTCCCTGGTTAAAATGCTAAGTCAAAAGGAACTCCCTTACATGGGGATGCCAATATCTATCACTCCCTGATGGGGATGCTAGAGAGACAGCAATTTTATGATTGAAATTGCAAAAAAAAAAAGGGGGGGAATGAAGGGATCAGCTTCCCTTTCGGCAGCCATAACAGCCGAACACGTGCTTGCCATAAACCTGCCTTGGTCACTTAGAGGTCAGATGCCTGTCTCGTGACAAGGAACTTATCAGAAGTTAGTCACCAGAAAGTCAGATGCCTGTCTCGTGACAAGGAACCAATCAGAAGTTAGCTGGTGGTGCTATGCTTTACGACCCTGGGTGTGCTTTATGGACAAGCGCACAGCAATGACGTAGAGAGCATAGCAACCACTCTGGGAGGGCCTATGTGCCATAACAACCAGTTGGCCAATCAACACAGGGCAAACCCTCCAAGCCTGGATGCACACCAATCCTGAGCCTGTGCATACCCCTAGACACTCCACTTATGCTGCCCTATAAAGACCTGTGTGCAGCGGCTTCAAACTGTCTTTGCTAGCCATCTGTCATGGTGGGTGGATCAAAGACCCTAGCTAACATGGGGTTAGCTCGTTAAACTACAATAAAGCCTCATGCAATTTTCATCAAGCTTTTGCCTCCATTCTGTGATTGGGGTGGCCTGGGCTAAGATTCTGGAAGCCTGGGCTTTCCGAGGGTCTTACACAAGCAATTTCTGAGATTTATATAAAGTTTCTGAGCAGAAAGTTTTCAAAGCAGATCTAAGCTTTGAAGCCCCCATAGCTGACAAGGCCTCATTTGCATCTTAGCTGACACACTCAGGCTGTGAATCTAACAGGCAGCTGTCTCCTGAGGCTTTTTCTCAAAAACCTTTATCAAATCATGTGTCAACATTTACTTTCTAGATTTCCCTTTACAACTATAAAAATTTAGGATGATTTCTGTGTCTTCTCCTCTGCCAAATTCTATATAATCATCCACAGATTTCCCCTGCCCTTAAATCAACACTACAGGCTTCTGTTACTTTTTCACCAACTGACTTTGAGGATTCATATCATCAACCACTCCTGTTAAGACATTGGTAGCTATTTTACTATATCTGAGGCAAATCATATCCAAGGCAATTTAAGCAGTTCCTTTTGTCAGCATTCATGCATTCACAATTATATATATATATTTGAATGATATATATATATATATATATCAATTTGATTTATATATATATATATATATATATATATATATATATATATGAATTTTTCAGGTGTGGCCACACCAAACATTTATAACTTGCATGTATCTCACATTTCTCCTTTTGTCTAGGTTATGATCAGTTTGTTGAACTGAAAAATCCCTAATTGAAATCTCTCATAACACAGCAGTTACAGCCAATTCTTGCATTATGAGCATTCAAATTTTGAACACATCCAAATTTACCTATGTTGCCTTTGTTTCTCTATAAGATCTCAGAACAGTTTCTGAATGGCTGTATTAATAGCATTTTCAAACATTTGACTGGCATCAGCCACAGGGGCATTTCCCAAGGCTGCAAGTTTTCTAAGTTCTGACCTTGGCCTATAGCTTGCCTTCTGCCCTCTGTAGATCATCTGTAGCTGCTTCTCTCTCCTGCATCTCCGGCACAAATCTAGTTCCCTATTTTCTCTTTTATTGGTACTCTGTCAGACCCAGTGCCCTTCCTGACCTGTCCAAAGCAACCTCTAAAAGGTTCTGTGTATTTCTTCCTCCCTATGCCTTGCTTTCACTGAAGAAATAAGATATTAACTAAAGTTTCTGTTGGTCTGACATCTAAACAAATCCCAATAAACCCATTCATGTCATTTTTATTTCCTAATGAAAAACTTAAAAATTAGCAAAGAAATATAGCCCAGAAACTGACCAAGGCTACTACTATGACTTCGTGCCTGGAATTTACCAGCCACCAGCAATTACTCACTTACAAGACCATAAGATAACTGGGTACCAAGAAATCCCAGATGACCACCCTCCCCGAGGGGCTTATGAAGGAAACAGATTGCCCCACGGGCCAATGTGTCAATCATTAACAATTAAGGGTCCCTGTGAAACAAAGAGATAGCTACCATTAGTTAGCACATCCTGAGGTCTGCATGTTTTACAACTGCAGAGGCTATCTGATTCCCAGGCCTCCCCTGAAGACAAAGGGTTTCGTAGGAACCTATGACTCTGGTCACATTTTCAATGGACAGAGAGTCAAGGCCTCTCCCTAAGCTTATGGTTTTTGCCTTAAAACGCCTGAGCCTGAAGGCCTGGGCTGCTCTCTAGCCTGCATGCTGAGAGAGCCTGTTTATACAAGTCTACCTTTCATTAAAGCCTCTTGCTGTTTGCATCAAATTTCAGCCTCCTCATGGTGATTGGGGTGGCTGCAGTCCTGGGAAAAGATTCTGGAGGCCTGAGCTTCCAGTGATCTTACACTAATGCTCGATTTTTCTCATTTTTCTACTTTTATATATGTTTTTATTTCTGTTTTTTTCTATATTTTTCTTTTCTTTTTTTTATTTCTTTTTAAGACAGCATACTCTATTTTCAATCCAGCTCCTTTGGGACCTGAGGCACCCTTATAGTACCTTACCAGCCTAAGTCTCTCAGGAGTTGAGGCAGCCATATCAATACACCCGTTCCTACCTTGAGGCTGGCCAGCAATTCCACCAATGATCCATCAGTGTGCATTCCCTTCTTTCTCCATCTTGGTGAGCACCTCCACTATGTAGTGTCCAGAACTACAACTTCTTACTGGTTCAAGCAAGGAATCTACGGATTTAATAAAACAAGACAGCCAGTCATTCTTGAAAGAAGAATGCCAATTTATTTAGAGGGGAGTTGACTCATATACCATCAGCAGAACCCTAGGAAGTAACTCAGATTAAAGTTCCCGCTCTTAACTGAAGAAGATGCAGATAACTGACAAGATGCAGATAATCTGCATATTTGTAAATAGGCCTTATTGGCAGGAGGGAAAATGAGGAAATAGCACCTAAACATGAGGCAGCCAGTAGCTCCCCAAGGATACTGCAGATCAAATTTAGACAAGAGAAGAAAAGCAGACTTCTAGGGGGCCCTCAACATGTCTGTCTGTCTGTCTGTCTGTCTCTCCATCTCTCCCTATCTGTCTCTGTATTTTCCCATTCTCTTCCCATCTCTGTCGGTTCAGAGCAAAAAGATTCTTTCCCCAACATATAAGCACTAAGCAAACCAGAGATGATAAACTCTCAGGACTGTCTCTTCCATAGGAGAAATGTATGGCTTGTGCTTCCACCCAGAAACTTTGGATTTGAGGTCACTAATAACATTGCGGTTGTGCAATCTGTAGAGCAAGGATATATTAAACTCCCACAGTAGGCCCAGAGCTGACCAATAGTCTAGGTGGCCTTTACCTTATCTGAATGGTCAGACCCTCTCCGAACCTCCCTAAATCAGGGTGGGTTGTGGCAAATACCGCAAATGACATCTATGCTATTGGTTTGGCTGACACCACACCACATCCTTTCCTGAATAATACCTGAAGCCTATCTCTACAACCCATCATCGTGGAAGCAGTGAAATGTACTTGGAGTTGAGATTCAATGTAATTATGTGTGCACAATGGATTTTATTACACCAGGGAACTTTTTGTTCCAAATTGTACTGTACTTAAATATACTTAAAACACACTGCTTGGGGTTAGAATCTAGGAGTGTGAATAACACTGGCTAACTAATTTGTGCTCACCCAGCTTTTCTTCTTACTTTATGCAGACCATTAATCTGCTGCCACAGAATGTGCAGAGACCCCGGAAATTTGTCCTTCCCTCATTCTCTCTGTCTCTCTCTGAAAGCACCAAATGCATGGGTAATCCTTCTCTTCCAGAGAACTTAGAAATGATGAACAGAGTTCCGTAGGAAGATTCATCATGGCCCAGGTGAAAGGTTCAGGCATTATGCTGGCCTGCCCCTCTTACCTGGTGGAACAGGCAGTACCCTGGTCAGCCCAAGGTTCCATGGGAACTAAGTCTGCACGTATGAGCAGAGGACCCCTTTAAAAGACAGGTCCCTGCTCATTTACCCTCTCTGTTTCCTCTCTGTGTTTCCCTGCTCTGTTTCCTATCAGCTTCCTTTCTCTCTACTCTGTCTCCCACCTATGCTCTCTCTGCCTGTCTATGGCGACCGGCCATAGCGGTCAGCCATTTACCCCTGTTCCTCTTCTTAGTCTCCCGTCTCTGCCAGGCATTATAATAAACTTATAGTCAATATGTGTCATGTCTCAGCATTTCTCTTTTCTTCTTTTTAAACAAAACAAAAACACCAGGGACATCAGATTCAATCCTGCCTTTCTTTGCTTTCCCTGCATACAACAGCCCACACCTAGAATTAGAGATTATGTCCACCTCCTTTGGGAAATAAAGCCATTGGGGGGCAACTCAGAGCTCCCGAACAATGGACATCAGCTGCCCAGGAAGATGAACCTTTACTGGGCTCACCAAGCTCATCAGGCTCACCAGGATCCTTCTGGAGATCTGTGCCCAAGGTGGAGGCACAGCCCTTGTGCATGAGCTCTTGCAGCAGGAAAGCTGAGCAGCACAGAGGCACAGCCTCTGTGGGTATTGGGGACAGAGAACAGCCAGGTCCCCACTGCCCACCTGGCTACTCAGGATCCCCCATGTACTTGGAGAGCTCCAGCTTTTCTCACACTGTAAGCACTCATTTGCACACCACAGTCCTAGCCACCTGCTGGAGTGATGGGAACTGGAGACCCAGGCACAGCTTGGTCACTGATTCAATGACCATGACTGTCACCTGACAAGTCTTACTGCCTTCTGCTCTCTGGTTAACTTGGCTCCACAGTTTTTTTTTTATTTTGTTTTGTTTGTTTGTTTTTTTTACCATTGTGATCTCTGTCTTCTGTCTCATTATACAACAGCAGCTCTCATCCTCCTCCATACTCATTTACTATGAATGATTTTATATTCAAGGACATATAAATAGTTGCCAAAGTGTGGAGACAATCAGTGTAGCACTACATGCAAGGGAAAACACCTCTACTGGCTGATACTTTAAACCTGAAGGGAAATTTCAAACATACAAGTCAGAGACATTTACATAAATAATGCTCCCAACTATGTTAGTATTTCTCTCTGTTATATGTGTATATGTGTGTGTTTAAATATACATACATACACATACATGCATATATATCTGGGTATTTTTAGTTTCTTTGGAAAGCCTTAAGTATCTCTCATCAAATGTAACAGAATTTCCACTTTTTTGTCTCCCATTGGGGGACAGAAAAAATATGTCCTGTCCATGGGTTAACCCAGCATGGGTTGGGTAGAAATCACCTGTCACAGAAACCTTGAATAGCATCTCACGAGGTCTTGAGGTCTGGTGAGTACATCTCAGGACAATGAGGGGCTGGGTGTCAGAAGATGGGCAGGAGGACACTATTAGCCTGGACTTCTCATTTTGAACTACAGAGGTGGGTAGAGTGGTGCCTTGTCCAATCCTGTAGGTCTCATTGATAATTCTCTCTTTGTGTGAGATGAACATGCTAAAGTCTCCCCAGATATTTTGAACTACACATGTGAAACAGACTTAAAAGCTAAAGCGAGCTCCCTTTCTCCCATCCAACTTGGTGCACACGTTACTGCCACTAAACAAAAACTCTTGACCATCAGGACAATCATTGTTCCCTTTTCATTGGCAGAAAGAGAAGCCACAGGCCAGAACAAAAAAATATAAGCAGAAAGAATCAGACCTGGACACACACAAATGCCCGTCCCTTCGGTTCACTCAAACTGCAGAGCAGGGAAATCCTTACCACATGTTGTTAGACCCCCGAAAACTCAAGTATCCGGAGTCCCAGGCCACGTTCGCGGTCACCCAAATCACCAGGCGGATTCGAGAGCTTCCTGCAAACTGCACGAGGCTTTAATGTAAGTTAACGAGCTAACCCCATGTTAGCTCGGGTCTTTCACCCACCCACCATGGCGGACAGCTAGAAAAGATGGCTTGAAGCTGCTGCGCATAGATCTTTATAGGGCAGCGTAAGGGGAGTGTCTAGGGGTACGCACAGGCTCACTATTGGTGTGCCTCCAGGCTTGGAGGGCTTGCCCTGTGTTGATTGGTCAACTGGTTGTTATGGCTCATAGGCCCTCCCACGGTGGTTGCTATGCTCTCTACTTCATTGCTGTGCGCTAGTCCGTAAAGCACACCCAGGGTCATAAAGCATATCGCCACCAGCTAACTTCTGATTGGTTCCTTGTCACAAGACAGGCATCTGACTTTCTACTGACTAGGTCAAGGTCATAGAAGCACATGTTCGGCTGTTATGGCTGCCGAAAGGGAAGCTGGTTCCTTCAATGGTTGTTGTGAAGGTGTCAGCTGCTGTCTGGTTTTACACCAGGATAGGGCTCCTCAGAATCCCGCCTTGACTCTCTGCTGTCCTGTGGTCTTTCTCACCACCTGAACTCTCAGACAGGGCTGGGAAACAGCTCTGTGAGCTGTGATGTGTTCTTGATGTCACCAGTAGGAAGCTGAAACTGGAAAGTGAAAATGAACCTTGCTGGCTTCTCATCAGAAAAACTGAGAAGTAACAGGGATTGGTTTTCCTGCCCTCTCCTCTGTCCTGATGGTGAGAAGCCTCTGTAACACACTGACATGTGAGTTCCATTCAGCTGTCCAGAGAGAGACATCCCTGGCACCAGAAGATGCTGTTAGACTGGAATTGATGGAGGTGATGTGGATATAAAGAACCCAGTCTGGCATCTTCACAACACAATTGTTCCTCAGTCTAAAGGAATGAAGTTGTGCACTCTCTCCTTGGAACGGAGTCTCTACTCATGAGGCTCTGTTGTTTTAGGATTTGCTAAGAAGGTAATGGGGAAGTTTGGTGATGGAAGAGTCCATCTGCAGGTCAGGTCCCCTGCAGTCAGGAAGTGGTTCATCCCAGCTTGCCTGGTGTGGTTATCCTAATGAACCTCTGCAGGTGTCACCTTCTAGTCCAATTGGATCACATGGAATTTGCTTCCCTTTGTCTTGTTAAGTGCCTGTTTTATTTAGGGCTTTTATTGTTGTGAAGAGACACCATGACCACAGCAATTCTTATGAAGGAAAATGCTGGCTTACAGTTTTAGTGGTTTAGCCCGTTATCATCAAGGCAATGTAAAGGCAAACATGCAGGAGGAGCTGAGAATTCTATAACTTGATCTGTAGGCAGCAGAAGAGACCTGAATCCCACATTTGGTGTGTCTTCAGCATATGAGAGAGTAAAACCTGCCTCCACAGTGACATACTTCCTCCAATAAGGCCACACCTACTCCAACAAAGGCACACCACCTAATAGTGGCACTCCCTATGGGGGCTATTGTTATTCAAACCACTGCATTAGACTCCCAGGCCCCCATAGCCTTGTAGCCAGATCCTAATGCAAAATTGCATTCAGTGCAACTTCAAAAGTCCCCATAGTCTATCTATTTCAAAGTCACTTGTGAGACTCATGTAATCTCTCACATGTAATACCCAGTAAAATCAAATGAAAAAGCAGATTACATACTTCCAACACACAGTGTACAAGATATGCATTATCATTCCAAAATGGAGGGAAGGGAGCATAGGGAGAAAATACGGATCCAAAGCAAAGGCAAAAACCAGCTGGGCAAACTCCAAACTCTGCATCTCCCCGTCTGAGGTCAAAGTGTTGTTCAGATTCCCAATTCCTTTCATCTTTGTTGACTGAAACAAACTTCTTTGTCTTGGGCCCATTATTGTGATGGCAGGAA